GATTGGTTGAGCATTAATTCCTCATTTTCCTTTATTTATTATTATTATTAGATTAAATTCGTTACTTGCAAAATTCGAGTATTAAATAAATAGATTTTTTACCTGGTTATCCTGAAAATCAATATGATTGTTAGATTGGTTGAGCATTAATTCCTCATTTTCCTTTATTTATTATTATTATTAGATTAAATCCGTTACTTGCAAAATTCGAGTATTAAATAAATAAATTTTTACCTGATTATTTTGAGAATCAAGTGGCTCTTGTGATGATATCGAATCATCAAGAATTAATTCTTCATTTTCCTTTATTATTATTATTATTATTGGGTTAAATTACTTGCAAAATTCGAGTATTAAATAAATAGTTTTTTTTACCTGATTATCTTGTTCGTTAGATTGGTCGGGAAAAAAACATCAAGTGGCTCTTGTAAATCATCATGCATTAATTCTTCTTCATTTTTCTTTATTGTTATTATTATTTTAATACAAATTCCTTATATTCAATTTAATATTTTTTTATTTTTCATACATGGTTTTTCTCTGTATTTTCAACGTAATTTGCCTGTACCTAGAACATTTTTTGAATATTTATGAAATCAGAATAGTAACATATTTTGAATCAACATTATTACCTCTTCCAAGGAAACATTATTAATAGGGGATTTCAAATCGTGAATATCGCTATCTACTATCTTTTTGTAGCTATTTCCATTTAATAAAATTGTGTCTGGTTCGTCCAGATCCTTGATTGTTGTACAACCATGGTTTAAAACAGTTGTAAATTCTAAAGGTCTAACGAAAGTTGCTGATGAATCATTTACATTCCAAAACAATTTAATCGAAATATTGATAATTTCTTTTTCAACCATTGTAACTTGAGAATTTTTTGAGAGAAAAAAAAAAGTTTTACATCATATTTTAGATCTAACGTATTTATAATAATGATTTTTTGACTGACGTATTTAAATTTTTGGCTAATTTTATCATTATTAATAATTTTGACATATTTAATTTTTTTGACTAATGTGATCAACTATAATGAGTGCGTGCCAGCAACTAAGATTTTTTTATTTTCTATTTTTATAATATTCATCTTTAATTTTTCTTTCAAAACAAAATATCAACATGATTTATTATGTATTCATAGGCACCAAAATTAGGGATGGGACCAAATATTATCCTCCGTGATCAGATTTAAAAATGATTGAACGCATCATTCAAGTCCACCCATTATTATTATGCCAATAGGCAACATCATGTGTGTTGATGGAACTTATTCGTATGCAACCATGACTTCGCTAACGCTAAGCAGTTTTGGAAACATTCATGATCATCATGTCCCTCATTATGGCCTGATGCATGGCTGTAAGTCAAAAATA